GTCAATTTCCACCTCCGTTCCTAGAAGCAATGGAGAATGTGGTCCGGCCCTCCACATATCCCCTTTTTTTACTTCTTTGCAGAAAGGCAACTCCCTAGGAAGGTAAAGATAGAGGTCGCACTTCCCAAAATGAAAACATAAAAATGGGCTTACATGGAATCTGTCCCTAGGCTCATGACACCTGGAACCTATCCGGCCTGCCCTCTGCCAATTTTCTGGGAAAGGGAATATATGGCAGGAAACCCTTAAGCAGAGCGACTTATCTCTCAGAGAGGGCCATTCTCTGTGTGATGCTCTTTAGCTCGACAACCTTTAGGGCTAGCTAAGCCAAGCATTCCACCCTGTGCAATGGACCACAGTCCTAGGGGTGCAGGAGCTGGTTGGCTTAAACCTTATTGCTTTAACATAGATAACCACATATCAGAAGAGGCTCCCTGTTCTAGGGCAGCCAGCGCTGAGCAAAAACCATTTTATCCCTATGGCTTTGGGATTTGAGTCAGCAGACCATCCAGAGGAGAAACACTAATCCATAGCATAGGACTGTTTCAAACATTCCAACCCCCACCCATTCTTTGAAGTAGGAGATGAAGGACACAATCCAGGACTGGAATCCTTTGGCCAGGCTTATGTCCATTTGCGTGGAGTTGATTGTCACGATGGACCATCTCAAGGAGGACAGCAAATCATCAAAATTTTTTTGTAAGATACAAAGACAATTTTCGGGACAAGTTAGCCATTTTTATAAAGTTTTTATATGGTACATTGGTCATACATAAGGCTGAGTTTTCCATTCATAGTCCAATTGGGCAAGCTGCCATAAGATATCCACCTGTTTTTTATTTTACCTCTAATAGATGTATCTATGGTAGCCTGTTGATCCAGGGCTGTAGCCATTGTGGTAGATAACTGATTGAGGGTCTTTGTTTTTTATGATATAGGCCGTGCTGTCCCAGTGGCGCCTAGGAAAAACCCAGGCCCTGTTTGTTGATATTAGGTTTAAGATTTATTGGCTCCCGTATTTCTTGTTGGTACGGTGACCTCGGGTTCCAGAGCCCGCCCGCCATCCAAGGGCTGTGTGCGGCCCTGGACCTGCTCGCTGTGCGGCTCCCCGTGTCCTGCTGTGCGGCTCCATCCCTAGGCGCCCCAGCCTTTTCTGCGGGGCTAGCCTAGTCCTCCATGGCGGCTGTGTTGGTGGGGGAGTGTGGCGGGAGCCGACACTCAGACCGTGGCGGCACAGGCCGGCAACATCTCAAGGTCCGCGCCAGAGCCGCTGCGGCTCAAGGGGCCAATGGGAGAGGCGGCGAACAGGGCCGCTTCCCTACTAGCAAACTCTCAACATCTGTGCCATAGCAAAAGCAGCTGTAAACAAACTCTCACAGACCCAGCCAACGACCCAATCACTTTAAAAATCTAAGGGCTTTTTGCATCTACCTCCCTGTGGATCCTGAAACATTAGATTTAAAACCAAATAGTTGTAAGCTGTCATGTGGTCACTGGGGAATTGAACTCATGACCCTTGGAAGAGCAGGCAGCATTCTTAACCCCTATGTTATCTCTTTAGTTTTTTATTTAGATGGAAAATCTCTCGGGCTAGTAGCCAGTATTGTTTGCCCCGCCCGTTGCCCCAGGCTATAGGTCCGCCTTTGTTACCTAGGATCAGCACAGCTCAGCTCAGCCAAGCGGAACAGAAGCCATTCCAGCCTCAGAGCCCCTCATAGTTTTAGGCACATTGTAAGCCTTCTGGCCTGGCAGCTTGTGGCACCGTTCTCATTCTCGGTACTGCTGTGATACCCTCCAGGCCAGGCACCAACTGAGCCTGCGCAATATGCCTCCCATCATAGCCATAGAGCAAAGCTCCGCTCCAGCCGCCCTCCAGCCCCAGCTGCATCCATTCCGAGCCCAAACCGGTGCATGGAGCAAAGCTGAACTCAGAGAAGCAGGCTTGAAAGGATCTCATTTAATCTTTAAGGGAATTTGGGCGTCGTTTAGTCTCTTTGGCTGCTTTCTGTTGTTATTGGGCCGCTGTATTTTAGGGGTATACATTATAACATTTTAGGAGGTCTCGGTGATTCAAACCATTTAAATCCCAAGTACACCCTTAGGCTCTCCCCCTCCGTGGAGACGAAAACAGAACCTCCCTCCCAAAACACCATATCCTCAGCAGTCTCCAAGTTTAAATATCCCTCTCCCATCCAGTACATAAAAGACAACATGAACAACACAACATAAAGCTTTTGACCCTGCAAATCAGCCCTCTCCCCCATTTTTGCTTTTTAGAATCATTGGGGGGTCCTTTTTAATTTATTTTCTTTTTTGTCTCCCCCATTCTTTACCGGAGGGTCCTTTTTAACTTATCTGGGTGCGCGCATAACCTCCCACTGCTGTTCAGTTTCTGATATGTTCTCTGGACTTTAGAGCGTACCTCTCTAAGCTTGTATGCCTGCAGTTTTGAATCCTCCTTGTGTCCAAGGGGTCTCCGGTGGTGTAAAGTTCTTCTTTTTCCCGGGTTTCAGCACCAGATGTCCCGCGCTACCGTCTCGCCAGCAAGAACCACGCGGTACACATAGGATCCTTCTGCAGAAAAGCTTTATGTCTCTTGGGAGCTAGAGCATAAGCCACATGGCGGAGACCCAGAATGAGGGAAACCCATCCCTTATAAAGGAAACAGACCCTGCTTTGGACGTGTCATTCCTGGATTGGTTAACTGCTCCCAGTCCCAGGTGAAACCTCGGGAGAAGGCAGGGACGCAGCGGTAGAGAGTTAGTAGAGAGTTACAAAGCACGTGCGCTGGGATTAAAGGCGTGTGCCGCCACACCTTGGGGTCACAGAGGTCAATCTCCACCTCCGTTCCTAGAAGCAATGGAAAATGTGGTCCGGCCCTCCACAGTCCCCCAATGTTTACAGGGTTTTTCCCAGTCACCTCATTACAGAAGCTCCATGGTAGGAAGGACTGCCGTTAGCAGCCAGGATAGTCTTTTTATCTCCACGGCCCGATCACGTGGGATCTTAGCTATCCCGAGAACAGGGAAGAAGACAATATATTTCTGCAATAACGGGAAATCCTGGAGCTAGTAAGATGGCTCATCAGGCGAAGAAGGTGTCTGCCACCAAGTCTGAGGACCTGACTTTGATGCCCAGGAACCAGAAGGTGAAGGGGAGAACCAGTTCCTATGAGTACTCCCCCACCCATCACAAGGGCACAGTGGCACAAACGTGCTTCCTGGCCCCGCACTCAAAAAATCCAGTAATCAACGTAAAATGTTGAGGATAAAATCCAAGTGCATTTCATTTTCAAGAAATTGATTGGCCCCATTTTCACTTCTAAAATTGAGTAACACTTCACAAAATGGAGCGAGTGTTCGGGAGGGCTGAGTGGGCAGGCTGGGTTCACAAACCTGGAAGAGTCGGGAGAGGGGGCATAGCCTAGAGAAGTGGCCACTTCAAAGTTACTGCTCTGCTTCAGCAGGAACCGCAAGTTCATTATTCATGTATATTCATGTATAATATATATTAATTGATTAATTAATTTTGGTGAGGACTAGGCAGAGGGAACTTTCACTGAAACTGGCCTTTAGGCAATGGGGTGTCGGCTCTTTCCTGAGGTCTCTGAGGGTGACAGACACCCTAGGTCTCTTTGGTGTGGAGCATCAGCGTGGGCCATTCCAGCTTAGGCTTTAGTTTGGTGTGGTGTGTCAGAGCCCAGCACATGAATTCAGTCGGATGATGACTTCTCGACTGAACAGGTGTTAGAAAATCAAACATGACGCTAACATTTTATATAAATATAATTTGTACAAAATCCTTAACAGTGCCATGTTGTTCTATGAAAATGAACTTTGATTCATTATTATCGGTTTGTTCTCAGTAGCCAATAAGAAACAACCCCAACACATCAATCAATAAAACAGAGAAACCCCTTGCAATGCATTTGCACCATTAAATGCTACACAGCAGTAGTGGTTTTTAAAACTTTGCATACCGTTGACAACATGGGTGGATTTCACAGAGGTCCTGGTGAATGGCAGAAGTGGCCTGGAGTGATAGTTCAGTCCATAAAGGTTTGTCCACGCAAGCATGGAATCCTGAGCGCCCAGAGTCCAGGTTATAAATGCAGACAAAACACCAGTGCACATAAAGCAAAAATAAATAAATAAAACCCAAACAGAACAAAACCCAATCATAGTGCCCAAGGAACAACACATCTGAGGTTGTCCTCTGACCTTCACACACAAACGCACATGCATGTGCAGACACGTGTGCACCCACAGAACACACACACACACACATACACATTAAAAAAACCAATAAGTCAATTTATCCATGGTTCTAGAAGTCAGAGTGTGGTGCTGAGAGGAAGGGGTGAGTCTTGACTTGGATAGTGACAAGGTGGGGGACAGTAACTCTGCAGTACCTCTGTTTTGCTTTCAAGGTTTCAGTTACTGCAATCTAAGACAATTAAATGGAAAACGTCAGAAGTAATCCATACATTTTAAACTGCACAATGTTCTGAGTGGTCCCACCTCTGACAGCAATGACTTCTCTACCCAGTGTTTCTGCACTGTAGATGCTACCTGCCCATTAATCACTAGCACAACATGGTCTGTGTAGGGCTTGCATCATCCTTGGTCTCAGCAGCCCTTCAAGATCTTAGGGGGAAATGACTATCTGGTTCTCAGTTACCAATGCTAAGAATTACCCCTGTGCCAAAGTAGCATATTTTTGGGTGATAAATTCTGCAGCCTTCCAATATAAATATTTACAAAATTTTTTCCAATATAAATATTAACACTCATTGGACTGAGCACTTTACTGGGTATGCTGCTATGTATAGGTTATACTTTAATTATAAATTGAAAAACAATAGATTGCAGATATTGTAGTTAGTATAAGCCATGGTTTAGTATGATTTCATTTCTGCATAATCTAAAATCCTTCCACACTTGAGTTTTATAATGTTTTATGATATTAGCAGTAACTTTGCTTTCTATTTTTCCAATTAGAAGACAACTTGACTCATAAGGACATGGCTCAGATGGGGAAGGAATATAAGGCTGACGTTGACTTGCAAAGGTAACCCAGGGCGGGTTTCTTGGGAAGGGCTGGTTCTATAGAAGGCAGCACGTGTTCTTTCAACCAGGAATAACCACTTGTCGTGGTCACTGTTCTATTATTGTGAAGAGACACCATGACCAAGGCAACTCTTCAAAAGGAAAGCATCTAACTGGGGGCTGGCTTACAGATTTAAAGGTTAGTCCATATCATCACGGCAGGGAACATAGTTGGCACTCATGGGGCTGGGGCAGTAGCTGAGAGCTTTAACCCTGATCCACAGGCAGGCAGAGAGAGAGAGAGACTAGGCCTGGAGCAGAGTTTTAAAACCCCAAAGCCCACTCCCAGTGACACACTTCCTCCAACAAGGCCACACCTCCTAATCCTGATCCTTTCAAACAGTTCTAGTCCTTGGTGAGTAAGCATTCAAATATATGAGCCTATGGGGCTGCTGTTATACAAACCATCACGCCACTCCAGGATTGCTGTGTGGGAAGGGAGCTTATATTCTCAAAAGTCCCCATAATCCCAGGGAAGTGTTTTCCCTGGGGAGAAAGTACTGCGAGGATGACTGTGATACTTTGGAGAGTTGATAAAGATTTAGTCAGATGCACAGTGTTGGACTCCAGGGACAGAATCACCCTACTCTAAGGTTTTTCTACTGTAAGCCCCAGAGATAAGGAAGTCCTCCTGGCCCATATGCCACACAATAATATATGTGAAATAATACAGTGGAAAGATCTCCTTTTCAATACATCAACAAATTCAAGGTCAGCCATGCATTAGTCCAGAGCTAGACCCAACATCATGCAGCGGCTTATGGGAGGCGAGAAAGTGATGGCGAAATTTCACAGAACTGGATGGGAGCTCACGCTGTGCTGGGAGCATGGCTGCCCAACATGGCTGTCCTGGACATAGCAGGCTACAGCTTCCATTGCCTAAAGCCATGTAGAGACGAGACGTCATAGCCATGTAACACGTACCCTCTAACTGTAGATCTGTGTCCGTGAGTCAACCCACCGCAGATGGCATGCCATGCAGTCAGGCCTGTGACGGTTACATCTTCACTAACAAGGACAGATTTGCTTTCTCAAGTCAGTCCATAATGATACTGTGTCAATGTCCTACAAGATAGTATATCATCTAGACTCTAGAGATTATTAAAAAAAAACAAAACAAAACAGGAGCTCCTAGATTGTATTAGCACACACCTTTAATCCCAGCACTTGGGAGGCAGAGACAGGTGGATCTCTGAGTTTGGGGCCGACCTGGTTTACAGAGTGAGTTCCAAGATAGCCAGGACTACACAGAGAAACCAAGTCAAAACAAACAAACAAACAATAAAAGGCAGGAGCTATGTGTAGGCTTTATATGTAAAAAGTTCTGAACCATGTTATCTACTGGACTTCAGTATTGGAGGACTTTGGTACCTGTAAGGGTCCTGGGCATGGCTCCCACCCACACATGAGAGAAACAGCAGGATTCATGGAGCAGGTTTCTCTGCGAAGCCCGTTTCTTCCCTGGGCTTTGGGTTTCTCCCTCTCTCCTCCCTGTGCTGTTCCCAGCTTTGGGCTGGGCGCCTATGCCGTCACCAACCTCCTCTGCTCTCCTGAGGAGTTGTATGACTGACACTTAGCAGGGGAAGGGGCCTGGAGGGGCCAGCTCTGCCCTCCCCAACACGGTCCCTGTGGAAGCCAAGCCCCTCCTCTTTCTCTTCCTTTCCCCAGGCTCCCTCCCTCCTTCTCTGCCTCCTAGGCCCTTTCTTGGTCAGGACAGTGGCATTCACCCCTCCAGGGTGGTACTCTAGTTCTTCAGAGCGGGGCTGGGAATGTCCCTCAGAACCATTCTATCTTCTTCACGTCTTTGAACAGGGCCAAGGTCACCTCCAGGGTTGTCCCTCTGCTGGGATGCTTCTCCTTATTACACCAGTCACTTCCTGCAAGGGTTGAACTTTGTAGGAAATGTAGGAAGGCTTCAAAGTTAGGCATAAAAGCTGCCTGGAGGCCACATGGGCTTTTTCCTCTGGGAGGTTGAAGCTGTGTTTTTGTGTCCTCACCCACAGGGACAAGGACGGAGGTCCTCGGGGTGGAGATTCGACTGATGAGGAAGAAGTGGAAGCTGAAGATGATGTTCTAACAGATGAAGAATGGAGGTTTTTAAAACAATTCCACAGCTGGAGAAAGAACGAAAACAAGCGCATTAGAACACTCTATGCCATCGCAGACAACATTGACAAAAGCGACCAAAAAGCCACCAAGGCCAAAATGGTGACCGACTCTGCGTCAGTCATCTCTGAAGCCATGTGTCTCCTGGGTTTGGCCCTTGCTCCAGTAACTGCAGGTGGAAGCCTGGTGCTCACTGCTGCGGGGACAGGTTTGGGGGCCGCTGCTGGGATCACCAACATCGTGACTCACGTGAAGGAAGATTCTCGCAACAAAAGTGCCCTAGCTCAGGCCAACAGAATCATACCTAGCCATGACCAAGAGCTTGAGGAGGTCACGGGAAAGATGACAGCCTATGTCACGGCTGCCGGTGAGATTGCCTACAAATGTGGGAGCGCCTGGGAAACCATCCGAAAGCACATCCGAGCCCTCCAGCTAACCAAAACACACCCCCATGTTGCCTCGGCTGCCAGCAAGCTCATGACTACTGGCCGGGTCTCAACCCGAAGCAGCAGGCAGATACAAAAGGCCTTTGGGGGCACAGCTCTGGCATTGACCAAAAATGCCCTCATGAAGAACGGGCTACCTGCTCTCTTCTTTCTCGGCCAGGACATACATGCTCTCTGGAAGGACTGGGAGAAACTGCAGGCTGGAGAACCAACAGAGCTTGCAAAAGAGTTAAGATGGCGGGCTCAGAAGCGGGAGCGGGTGGTATCAGAACGCACCTGTCGCTATGAAGGGCTGAAGAAGGTGAGGGCTGGGTTTTGGAAGGGGCCAGGTGGCAGAAACTGGCGTCTGTGGGGCCAGTTTAGAACAGCCATGGTTAAGGGAACCTTTGTGTGTGTGTGTGTGTGTGTGTGTGTGTGTGTGTATGTGTGTGTGTGGTGTGTACATATTTGTGAGTGTGTGTGTGTGTTGTGTTGTCAAGTTTTCAGGGATATCTCTCACCACAAGGCATATGGTAGACCCAGAGGTCTTTTCTAGTTAGGTTTCTATTGCTGTGCTAAAGACCGTGATCAAAAGCAATTTGAGATTGAGAAGGAAAGGGTTTGTTTGGTTTACACATCCCGAGTCACATTCATGGGGGAAGCCAGCGCAGGAGCTTAAGCAGGACCCAGGAGGCAGGAACTCAAGCAGAGGTCATGGAGGAACACTGCTCACTGGCTTGCTCCCTCCCCATGGGTTGCTCAGCCTGCTTTCTTATGCCACCCAGGACCACCTCGCAAGGGAGGTACCACCCATAGTAAGCCAGATCCCCCCATATCAGTCACTAAACCAAAAAAATGCCCTACAGACATGCCCACAAGCAATATGATGGAGGCATGTCTTCAATTCAGGTTTCTCTTCCCAGATGATTCTCTGTTAAGTTGCCCCCCAAACAAACAGACAAAACAACAACAACAATAACAGCAAAAGCTAATCAGGACTAGGTCTAAATAGTATCCAGTGCTCTGGTGTCCCTTGAACAGTGGGAGGCCAGTCTTCAGCTGACTTGGTTAACCTTCTCTTTCTTCTTACAGCTTCCTGGTTGACTAGAATAGGTCTCCGAGTCACAAGGAGCATTTGGACTAACTACCTTCTCAAACCCCATGTGGAATCTTTACTTCCTTTATATTTGGAGTGTGGGTGTGGTTAAGGTTGGACAAGGTTGAAAGGGTAGACAGAGCCTTCCAGGCCTGATGTCCACAAAAGAGAAGGCAGAAACTGGGGAGCCCACCCTATGCACCTGCACAGGGGAAAATTATGCAAAAGCTTCCTCTTAGGAGTAACCAGACATTTGTAAGCTGAGACAAAGTCAGCATCCAACAGGAGTTGAACGGGCTAGCGACAGAGTCTGCCTTTCCCTGGGGTGCTGGGCAAGTGGTGAGTGTTGAGAAGCACCTGTGGTGGTGGTAGTGGTGGGCGGTCGTGGTGATGGAGGGTAGGGATGATTGGTGATGGTGGTGGTGGAGGTGGTGGTGGTGGCGGTGGAGGTGGTGATGGTGGCGGTGGGTAGTGATGGTGGTGGAGGTGGTGATGGTGGTGGTGGTGATTAATGGTGGTGGTTGCAGTTTAGTTTAGTAGGTAGCCCAGGCTGACTTGATATCATTATGTAGTCCAGGCTGGCCTCAAGCCTATGGTCCTTCTGTCTCAGGCTCTCAAGTGCTGAGATTATGTGTTTGTGCCACAATCCCTGGTGTAAGCACTGTTAACTCACTGATAAAATCACTAATAGTACTAACGAGAAGTCTTTACCATAACAACTCTTTCCAATAGTCATCTTACCTGTAGATAAGCTAAGATTTTGAGGGACAGGACAATATGACTCCCTAACTGGTAACTAACTGTTAATCTGGTTCTCTGGTTGCCTTGAGGGAAGAATTATCACCCAAGAGCCAGTTGAACTGTGCCCATGCCAGCACTGGTTGTGTTGATTGCCCCATAAACGCCCTGAGGAAGCTGCACAGCACTGACAGCTGCTTGCTGCTGAAGTCTAACAGCAGCTCCTGGATCACAGCCCTGGAACCCCGATGGTTCCAGCTTTGGCCTTCACAGTCCTCAGTGAAATGGAAATGACCCAGCCACCATTTCCACTGAGGAGTTTCTGCTGGTGGCCCCGTAGAGGGAATGCCTTAACTGGGTTAGGACTGGTGTTAACAAAGGCTGTAATTTGCATGCGGATGTGCTGTGGTTTGGGTCAAACATCAGTTTTGGCGGTATACAAGCTGTTTGGCTCACTCCTGTGCTGTCTGCTTCAGGTGTCACATTAGACCCAGTAAGGCTTCTCTCCCGTGGCCTTTCATTCATCATTTGTAACACAGGCTGAGCTGGTGACACAGAGCGAAGGCAGCTATAGCATGAGAGACAAGCAGACCACCAATGGTCCCTTTCCCAGGGCAGCTCTTTACCCCATCCTCAGGAGGCCCCACTTCCTAATTCTGTCACATGAAGATTAGGTTTCTCAAAACTAGATAGTGATAAACTGGATTTGGTGGCACACGCCTTTAATTCCAGCACTCAAGAGGTTGAGGCAATGGATCTTCATGAGGTCAGGACTACATACTGAGTTCCAAGTCAGTCAGGGTTACTTAGTGAGCCCCTCTCTCAACACACACACACACACACACACACACACACATACACACACACACACGCGCACGCACGCACGCACACACGCATCCACGCACGCACATACGCACGCATGCATGGTTGTAGAAGACCCGGGATGGCAAATGCTGGCACTGACACCTGGCTGGCTGGGAAGCAGCTGCCTGGTGAAACCAAACCTGGTCTGGGACTCTTCTACTTAGTGATTTTCCTCCTCCTTCTTCCCCTCCCTCTCCCCTTCTTCTTCCCACTCCTCCTCATCCTCCTCCTTCTAGACAGGCCCTCACTTACACAGTCTGGGAAGGCCTTTAACTCATCATAATCCAGGCTGACCTCAAACTCACAGCAGTCTTCCTGCCTCAGTCTCAAGAATGCTGGAATTATGTTTACACCACTGAGCCTGGCTCTTCTTTTCTAACAAGACTCAGACATGGATAATTATACAGTGCTCACCTTTTTTATTTTTCTTTCCTCTCAGAGACTCAGAGAAGATGCCTGGAGGTCTTTGAAAAGAGCCATGGAGACTCAGCCTCGGCCTCTCTCCTCCACTGAGAGAGCAAAGCCCAAGGGACAGCAGCGAAGACAAGCAGAGACCTTGGGGTTTTGAGATCAATAAAGGGGGACCAGGGTGGGGGTAGCAAGGCTGTCAGAGGTGATGCCTGAGGGTCACACACAAGGAGGTGCCAGGAAGGTCCCTGGGGTCTCAGAAGAGAGGGTTCGGTTAACCCTACCCCTGAACCTGCCTCCCTTCTTCACTCTGACTCAACACCACATCCCCCCCCCATCCCTTCTGCACCACATCCCTGGCCCCCATCACTCACTAACACAGCACCAGGTTGGTTTTAGACAGATAACAGGCTTCCTGCCGGCCAGCTTCCCTAGTAATTAGCAATGATAAGGTGTGAGGATTCCCCGCCCACCTGGCCTCTCCGTGTGTTCTCTTCATCCCCGCCCTGGCCCAGTGGGAACTGCTGGCTCCCAGTCAGGTTTCCACACAAAGGCTGTCACCGGAACCTGCTAGGCCAGATTCCAGAGGAAGGACAGAGCCTCGCGTCCTGAGCCCTCAGCTGGCAACCTTCAGTACTTCACTTGGCTGCCGGTTCTCTCATCTTAAAAATCTTTTTCTGTCTGTGAAAGTCACACATGCGTAGTACAACACACACACACACACACACTCACATGCACGCACACACTCTGGGAAGGCAAAGGCTGGGGGGTTGAGAGTGTGGCATATGCACACAGAACTTCCTGTGCTCTTTCTTCTCAGGTTGTCTAGGTGTTGGCTGTCCACTGCTGTCCTTGGACTCTGCAGGGACCCTCCCTCCCAGTGTGCTGCGGAATTGAGCCCCTTTCTCTAATCCCTCACTTGCCTGTGTCTGAACCTCCCACCCGGCTCGCTGTAGTACACGGAACTGCCTGCCTTCACCCCTTTACACGGCAGGCAGATATGTTGGCACACAGGTGCTTGGGCTTAGGGGTACGGTGAGCACACACAGGTCACAGCTGTCTGTCTCCACCTGGGGGATAGGTGAGTAAGGGTGCTCACTGCTACCAGGGAGAGCTGTATCTCCAGGCCACGCCCTGCAGGTTCTACTCTAAGGAAAGGGAACTGTGTAAGAATCCAGGGCATACTCTGATTGGCTAGGAGGGACTGGGCCAAAAAAAAAAAATCGAAGACGTACTCTGATTGGCCAGGACCAGGCTTTTCTGGGACAAGCCTTATGAACCAGAAGAGAGGAGAAAGAAGAAGGTGGGCAGATCTCCGAGTTCAGGACACCCAGGGCTACATAGAAAAACTGTCTCAAAAAAAAAACTTAAAAAAAAAAAAAAGCTAACAAAAGCAAGCCCGAATAAACAGACTCCTGCACTGCGTCATTTTGTGTCTGCTTCTGTTTTCTTACCATTCCACAGGCATGTCTATGAGCAGTCTTCCCGGTAGATGGCGCTGCAACAGGAGACGGTGCTTAGCACTTACTGCTACCCTCAGCTTGAATTGTCCCCTCCTCCGTTAGGGACTCCCACTTACGAAGTAGGATTTGTTGGAGGCATTGTTTGGGGAGGTGGAGGAGGTGTGGCCTTGCTGGAGGAAGTACGTCTCCAGGGGTGGCCTTGGAGATTTTCAGACCACTTCCTTTTTCCTGCCGGGTGCTTGCCTCTGAAGAGGTGAGCTTAGCTTCCTGATGCCGCTGTGTCCCTCCCCCTCCCCTCCACAGGGTGGACTTGTATCCCCCTGGAACCAGAAGCCGAATACCTTCCTTCTCTAAGTTGCCTTGCCCATGGCATGTTATCCCAGGATCAAAAGAGTTTTGCATTCTGTAAAAACCATTGCTGGGCTTCTGGTAGGTATTGACCGAACCTGTTGGCTCTTTGGACAACGTTAGTGTCTACAACAGTGGTTCTCAACCTTCCTAATGCTGCGACCCTTTAATACAGTTCAGTCATGTTGTGGTGACCTCCACCATAAAAATGTTTTATCAGTACTTCTTAACTATAGTTTTGCTATTGCTATGAATCATAATGAAAACATCTGGGTTGTGACCCACAGGTTGAGAACCACTGACCTAAACAACGTTAAAGCTTCCAACCTACAAACACAAGGTATCTTTTTATCCATATAGGTGATACTTCTTTCTGTGATGTTTACGGTTTTTCTCTGTGACCTCTTCACTTTCTTGGATACCAACAATTTGAAGATGGCTTCTGCACGTGTCATGTCTGTGACAGTGTCTTTCAGAGCTCTGTGACAAAAATCCCCGAAAGGAACAACGTACATGAGTGAGAAAAGATTCATTTCCGTTCACAGTTTCAGAGGGTCTCAGTCCCCTGAGGAGTGGGCAGTGTGGCTGAGTTCTAAACAGCAGTGGTGTGTTCTGGAGGATCCTGGCATCTTGGGGTCTGATCATGACTTCAGCCCTTCTGAGTCACTTAGCTTCTGTACCTCCTAGCACAGCCACTAGCTGGGGACCATTCCAAGCATGAGCCCGCAGAGAGTCTCCCAGATCTAAACATTTACCCACAGTGCAGGCTGTGACTAATGCCACGGTCTAGAGAAGCTCCGTGCAGCCCGAGAGACTCTGAAAAAAGGAGAAACTTTCATTTTCAATTACCCACCTCCCAACATCTACAGAGCCCCCAGGGCTGATTCCTGAGGCAGAGGGGGCTGGCTTGAACTAGGACCTACCCCTGTTAACTGAAAATTGAGCAAATAAAGCTGGCTCCATTTAAAACGACTGTGTAACTGTCAAAGTCACCCAGTGCAGTGAGCACCAAGCATGGGTCTCCATAACTTGTGTAACCCAACCCAAAGGCCGGAGCAATACAGTTTCTGAGTAATCTGATGTGCCATTGGAGGGTGCACCAGCCCAGGAGAAGACAGAAGAATTAAGAGGGGGATTGGTGAGGTGACTCAGCAGGTAGAGTGATGCTGACGGCCTGAGGGCCTGAGTTTGGTTCCTGAGACCCTTGCAGTGGAGAGAACTGACTTTCACCAGTCCTGTGACTTCACAGGTATGGAGTGGCATGTGTTGGCCCCCAACTCCCTGTATCCAAAACAAATAAAAGGCAAAGAATTCAGCAGAGGGAGGTCAACACTTGACCTCACTTCCTGTAGAGCTGTTGGAGAATGGGGCTCTGGCCTGAGTCATCTGAGAACATCTGGCAGTGAGCCCCTCTCAGGTGCAGGCTTCCCCTGGAGCCTCCCTCTCACGCTTCGCGAACAAAAGACCAAGTGTCCTGTGAGCAGGCAGGACCTAGGGACAGGAAAAGGAGGTACTGGGCAGCTGAGGTCCCAGCCTAAAAAACTAATGTGTAAACTCCTCCCTGGGGATCTGGGAGAGTGGCAGGGAGCTGACTGCCATGATTTCCTCAGTGGAAGCGCAGGAAAGAAAGATGTGTTGCAGGCAGTAGGTCACCTGAAGGGCACCTGAGATGATTGTGTAGTGTGTGTGTGCATGTGTGTGTGCACGCACGTGTGTGCATTTAGAAATTGCCCTCTTCGGTCTCTCTGCCTTTTTTTGGAGGGGAGGGGATGACAATAGGGTCTCTCACTGAACCCAGAGCTCACTTGTTCCAGTAAACAATCTGTTGGGGGTGCCCTGGGGTCTTCACAGGCCACCACACTTGGCTATTTATTTATTTATTTATTTTGTATACAATATTCTGTCTGTGTGGATGTCTGCAGGCCAGAAGAGGGCACCAGACCTCATTACAGATGGTTGTGAGCCACCATGTGGTTGCTGGGAATTGAACTCAGGACCTTTGGAAGAGCAGGCAATGCTCTTAACCACTGAGCCATTTCTCCAACTCCCACACTTGGCTTTTTAGATGAGTGCTGGGGATCCGAACTCAGGTCCTGATGCTCATGTGGTAGGCACTTTACCCACTCCCAAGCCAACACTTAAAATTTTGAAAATATTGTGTGTGTGTGTATGTGTGTGTGTGTGTGTGTGTGTGTGTGTGTGTGTGTGTAATGTGGCCATGATCATACCCATGTGTCACACACACATACCATGGCGTGCGTGTGCAGGTCGGAAGACAACTTTGGGTGTAAGGATTTGCCTTTCTACCTTATTTGAGACAGGCTCTCTGCTTGCTTCCATATATGGCAGACTGAGCTTCCAGCTTCTGGGGACTCTCTTGTCCTCATCTGCCACCTCCTGGGAAGATGCTGGGATTCCAGGTGTCCTAGCTACAGGCTCTCACCTTCTTTGGGGATTTGAATTCAGATCCTCCCACTTCTGTGGTAGGTATTTTAGCCACTGAGCCATCTCCCTGGTAACTATTTTTTTTGTCACGTTTGACTTTTTACAAAGATCTATTTATTCTTTAAGTGGGTCTGTGTGAGTGTATGCTGTGTGCACGCTGGGATCAGCAGAGGCCAGGAGAGCGCATCAGAGCCCCTGGAAGGGAATTACTGCTTGTTGTGAGCTGGTAATTAATGGTTCCTGGAAGAACTGTGTATTAGCTATTTTTCTATTGCTGTGATGAAACACCATGACCAAGGAGACTCCCAGAAAGATGAGTTTGTCTAGACTTATAATTACAGAGCGTTAGTGTCAAGAAGGCTGAGCAAAGATGTGGTGACCGGAACAGGGAGCTGAGGACTCATGGTTTAAACCAAAGGCATACAACCTCAGAACCCACTACCAACGACATACTTATTCCTGCCCGCAAGACAACACTCTCGAACACTGCCACCATCTAGGGGTCAAGTGTTCAAATGCTCAAGACCATGGAGGACATGTCATTCGGAGCCCCACAAGCAGCGCGCTCGAAGCTGCTGTCTCTGGGACCCCTTATTTAGAATACATGATGATTTGAATGAGAAATGTCCCCCGCAGACTCGGGCATTTGAACACTCGGTCTGTAGTTGGTGGCGCAGACTGGGGAAGTTTAGGAGGCACAGCCTTGCTGGAGAAAGCCCATCATCGGGGACAGGCTTTGAAATGTAAAGCCTCACCTACTTCCTGTTTGCTTTTTCTGCTTTATACTTATGGCTCAAGATGTGAGCTCTCAGCTTCCTGCCCCCTTCCTCCACACCCCCCACCATGATGGGATTCTTATCCCTCTGGGACCCTGAGTCAAAATAAACTCTTATTTATATAAATTGCCTCAGTCACAGTGTTTTTTTGTTTGTTTATTTGATTGGTTTCAAGACAGAGTTTCTCTGTGTAGTCCTGGCTGTCCTGGAACTCACTCTGTAGACCAGACTGGCCTTGAACTCAGAGAGCTACCTGCCTCTGCCTCCCAAGTGCTGGGATTAAAGGTGTGTGCTGCCACACCAAGATGGTCATGGTGTTTTAACACAGCAATAGAAAAGTAACTGATACAGAATATTCAGTATGCAGCTTAATTTTTACATTCTTATTCATTATACGTGATCAAGGCATCGAAGCTAGCTCCCTTAAGCCTCCTCATCTTGTCCACGGTCAGCACTCACTGTGTTTGTTTTCTGTGGTCGTAATAAACATCTGTGAACTTTGTTACTTTAAACAACACCCATCTATAAAGCCGGTTCTGTGTAAAAAGTCCCAGCAGCTCAGCTAGCTGGCGAGCTCTCCTCGGCTGGCCCAGCTCTGGTCTCACTGCTGTGGGACAGAAGGCACATCCAGGTCACAGATGTCGATAGGACTAATTTCCTTCCAGGCTTCCCAGAGCATGCCTGGTCCCGTGTTCTCTCTCTCTCTCTCTCTCTCTCTCTCTCTCTCTCTCTCTCTCTCTCTCTCCACCTTTCCTGGTTGCCACATCTCTTCCACCTGCAGACACAGAAAGGTCCTACCCAGGCGACTCCTGTCTCCTAAGGTCGCAGCTGCAGTTCTATCTGCAGAGTCATTGGCGACACTTGCGGCAGGCGCCTGTGCACCCAGGCTGGACAGTCTTTACCCCAGTGTTGACTGAGGATTTAGGGAGCTCCCAGACACCCAGCTCCTCTCCTGGTCTGGTGTGCGGCGTGGACTCAAGGCTCTGTAAAGCAGCAATGTGGTGGAGCCGGGCTTCATGTTCACACTGTAAGGAATCCCTAGTAAGCTGCCTTGCTCATCACTCAGGGGTCTTTGGTGCATGGGTGCTGGCCCAGTGCGGAAGGCTGCTTCTTCTCAGTGATCTCCTCTGGGAAATCCACACAGCCTTCATTCCCAGCTCTCAGCAGTCTTCACAGTGGGGCTCCACAGCCTGTGGAGCTGGTGTGGGGGAGGTATTTGGAAACACCTGGAAGCTAGTAAAACCCTAGAGCTTGCTGGGTCATT